TATTTATTTAAAGGTTTTTCGTATCTTTTTGTTATAAAAATGTCTTACCTTCTAAAATATCCTTCGTATATCCACTGTTTAAAATAATTGCGATGCTTGCAATAAAAAATAACGTTCGATGAATATCCATCGTGTTGATTCTAACCAATTTCGTTACTAAGAAATGATACAAAATGAATAATAAAATTGTCATGCATATATGTTGATAATACGAGATTAAGCTTATCAGTAATGGAAATAAAATGTAAAAATAAAAATGTCCAAAGTTATTATTTTATTCTATACGTACCCTGATGGATAAAGTTTTTAATTGCATCGGAATTATCTTCATACGTTACAATAGTATTATTTATTCACTTCATTTGTTTGTATAATTATACGTAACACTATGATTCATTATTAAAAAAGAGTATTAAACACCTGTGTGTGTGTGTGTGTGTATGTATGTATGTATTCGGCAGGAGAAAAATGAAACGTCGTTCTTACACTGCTTATGTTTCTACTTCAATCCTACCAAGTAATATAATATATTTTATACTTAATCAGAAAAATACAATCTTCTATGTTATCTTATCACCTACTCCAATATTAATGTTATCATTTTTTTTTCAATATACTATTATCGATTTCGAGGAACGTGCAAAAATTTATACATTTGATATATAAGTGTAACACACATTTTTTTATTTCTTACACTTTCTACGCGCTTAAACTTTATTTATATAATATTGTATATAGGAACGATCGATGATAACACTTTTATATATATATAAATAAAAATTTCAATTTTTCTTAAAGATAATTAAATACAATATTTTTTTTTGCAAATATATATCTAAAGATAAGACTTTCAACTATCTGATACAGTTTATTAATTAAAGGCGTTTTACTTTCATTTTCATCAAATATTTGTTCTTTGCAATATATAATCTGATATAATTTATTTTTAATTGATAAATAGTTTCACGAAGATTCGATTTAAGTAGATAACTAATGGAAATATTAGGTCGAGTCATAAATAACTTCCGTTTTTTATGAGACAAAGAATGGCGTTTCTGCGACTGATAAGTGCAAGACACCTTTCATGAAGTTTTTTTTTGCACTCTTTGCAATTGTTCAACATATCTAATTGAATTTTGCTCCAATATTACCTTTAAAAGGTTCGTCAAAGTCGGAAATACATCCTACACTCAGTTCATCTTTTAAGATCATATCTCCAGAGCGGAATTTGACAAACCAATTTCGGACTGCCCTATCAGTTATCAGTCCTGCACTGTATACGCTGTATATTTTTTCAGCTGCCACTTTAGTGCTATTGCCTTGTTTCAATTCTTAAAGCATTACATGTCGAATATGCACTTTTTACTATCCAATTTCAGTGGTTAAGAAAAACGGTGAAATGTAACATTGACTATATAAAGAAACATGTGTGCAAATCACACGTGTTAGAAGTGAAATCTTCAAAAACTAAGTTACGAGAGAATGAGACGAATACAAAATATTTGGTGTAGGATAATTGTATTCTCTTCTTATTTAGTATCGCGGCCGTTTCATCGTCTCCCACCGCTCCGTTACACAGCCGCCTACCGCTCCGTTGCATAGCCGCCTACCGCTCCGTTACATTTTTCCAAATCACACCTATTCTAAAGAAGTTTTTACTTCAAAAAGTTGACAGAAGACTAACTGAATCCTCATCTATACAGTGATATTGAAAATCTGTTTGTTTCGGTGACTAATAGTAGGTAAATACGAAAAATAGTTTCTACATAACCGCGTCAGAAGTAACTGACGAGAGAAGAATGACTCGACCTAATAACTCGAACGAATTATTTCAAACGATTTATCAATAAATATTATTATTGTAACATTTTGCATTTGTAGATCTTTATAAATTTGTAGTTTATGTCAATATTATATCATACTTGTTAGTTGTTAATCAAATAATATCTATAAGTGAATTATAGGACTTTTAAGAAACAATACAATGTAGAATTGTAATATTTGGACTTTGACTTTATATCTTATCGTTCAATTGCTTTCAATAAATTTGATCATCCACTTATCTTACTTAAGCATTTCCGGTACTTTTAATATTTTTTTTTGCATCCTTTATGTACCTAACTATTCGTTAGAATGAGAAATATTGATCGATTAATAAATAAAAGATAACGACAGAGTATCAAAGTTATAAAACAATGAGAACTTTTATCATTTTATTTCTTTGTTACATCCGTTAAATGCAAGTTCTCAAATTGTTCATCGATACTTTTTAAACAATTTTGCATTTTAATCCATCTAAGAACTTTTGACAGATGTTTCTTCGCTTTTTTCAAATTCTTTTCTACATCTTTTGTACTTTGTTTCAATCCATTTGCCTTCATAAAATGTTTAACCTGTATTAAAATATATACATATAATAATAATAAAATACAGACACACACAAATTAGTTTCATTTAAAATGACAATTGCAATAGTCTTGGAATACTGAACCTTATGAAATTGATCCCATGAAGTAATCTCATCAATTACTGTCTCAATAATTTCATGTGAATCTTCAATTCTATAAAATATCAAATAGAAAACTTAACATAGAATTGTATAAATGATTTGGTGAATTTATCAACAACATTTTAAATTACCTCGAATTTATTTTTTCCCAATTATTTATGATAAAATCAATGGTGACGTTTACATTTTCAACACTAGTGTACATTAAACGACGATAAACGTCTACTCGATGATCTTTTAAAATTGGCGAATCATTTGTTAACGTTAAATTTAATAATTGCTCAACTAAAATTGGATTTTCTACACCAGTTAAATTGTTTAAGTTTATAAAACTTGGATCACATTTATAAATTTGGAGACATTTATTAAATAATATTTCATTGGCTTCTTTCATACCGGTGTTAAATACCCATGGTTTCAAATTGGTAGGTATACTGAAAGATATATTATTAATATATGTTAATATATATAAATTTCGTGTCACGTTGTTTGTCCACAATGGACTCCCAAAATACTGAACCGATTTTAATCAAATTTTGTACACTGTGTGCAGTTTCATCCAACTTGGAAGATAGGATAGTTTATATCTCAATTTATACTCCTAATATTATTTATTTATTAACAAAGAGTCATGATTATCTCTGTTAGTTTGATAAGATTCTAACAGATGGCAGTATAAGGTAATTCGTGTGTATCGGACTGATTGTGAGCTACAGGGGCACCCTTAATTATCCATAGTTTAAAATTATAAACAATACTTACGGATTTGAATGAGGATTCTTTAAATGTTTTATCAATTTGGCATTAGCTATTTTTTTACATTCCAAATGACCAAGTTTACTGGCCAATTCAAGTACTTCAATTCTTTTTAATTTCGTTAAATGATCATCGTATGGTGTTTCATCGTATCCAACATTTTGTAATAAACCATCGATCAATCGTAAAACGTAAGACTACGAATGAAAATAAAATAAAATGTTAATATTACGTGTACAGTACGTTTTGCAAAATGTATGACTCGTTTAATTTATTGTATTATTGTACCTTAAAGAAGGCACTACTTTCTGGAAATTTAAAATAATCTTGAAACGTGTCAAATACTTTGAACGCTGAATACCATGGTATATAATCGGTTTCACGCCATAGATAATTCATTATTTCCAAAAATACAATTGGATTTAAACGTTTCGTACGAACCATATAACTCGAGTCATCAATAATTTGTGCACGATTCAATGGATGAATATTCGTATAATTTTCCGTATTTAAATATTCAGCAATTTTATTCCAATTATCTTCGTCATAATTGACACGATAATAACCTATTGTTAAAAATCGATTGTCACGATAAAATTCAATCTTACCTATGTACAAGTTTTTTTGTCGTATTTTATTGAATAATTTTTATTTTTTTAATTTTTTTTGTTGTTGTTCGTACCAGTTTGTTGCACATTAAATACGAACCAATCGTTCGGGTCGATGTTATCGATCGTCAAATTTTCATCTTGTGGTTTTAACCAATGTGTTGGTAAAGTTGAGGAAAAGTTAACTTCACTTTTACTTGTATAATTAATAGGTATCCACCATTTTACATCATCAGCTTTGTCATCATCATCATAGTCGTCGTCGTCGTCTTCGTTGTCGTTGTCGTCGTCGTCACTTTCCTCATCTTTATCATGATCGATATCAGATAGTTTAAAACGTTTTTGCGTTACAATTATCATACCAGTATTAAGATCACGTTTAGCTGTTACTAAAGGATATCCTTTTTGATTTAACCAAGTATCCATTATTTCTTTGATATTGAATTTTTCTAAATTCATCATATCTTCGAATATTTTCCACAATTGATCAGGCATCGATGTTTCGTATTGACTAAAACAATAAAACATTTATGTATAAATCGTGAAATAAATTGTTTATTCAAGAATACATTTGAAAAGTATATAACACTAACAATGTTTTAAGATACTTTAATATTCCTTTATGAAAGATTGGTTCAGAAAGACAATGTGATAACATACGTAAGATGCATGATCCTGTAACATATTTGATTGTAAGATAAAATATAATAATAATAAGATTATTTTGATATTATTTTGAAATTATATTAATTATACCTTTATGATAGATAATAGCGGGAACCCCTAAATAAGGTTCTTGACAGATACCTTTGTATGGTTTATGTCGTATAAATGAACAATTATCCCTGTAAAGTGTTATTGTTTGTTGAACGACCACCACAAACATTTCTAATACTCTCCATTCTGGATATGCCTTAATAATAAATAATTGTAATATAAATTGAATTAATTTAACAAGGAAGGAGATATATTATTTGATAAATATATCTTTACCTGATTAATAAAATAATATTTAAAATAATGCGCCAAAGATTCATTTAACCATAAATAATTCCACCAAGTTGGTCCGACTAAATTTTCAAACCATTGCTGAACCAAATTGTGTGCCACGAGTCTTGTTATCATTTCTAAATTATACGTATCCGTAGGATCTTCCACATATGTTATATCATCTTCACTGATTTGTTTAAAAATATTATATGATATATATATATATTTATTATTATTAACCCTTAAAGTGCACTGTGGGTGTTTGACACCCCAACGTGTTCAAATGCGTCTCCTGAAGCAGCCGCTATTTAATATTTAGACTTCGCAATTTTTTTCAAAGTAATTTGATACATCTTTTGTAAAATAGAATAAGTTATATACCCATCTGAATGAACACTAGATGGCACTAGACAAATAACCCATTTTTTTCGAATTCAGTACCGTTTTCGTGAGATCAACAATTTTTTTGGGGTGTCAAATCCCCTTTATGTGCACTTTAAGAGTTAATTAAGTAATGTTTAATAAAAAAAAAATGATTACTCGTAAACGATGAGGCCCCAATTTTCTGTACATCTTTTCGAATGATTAGGAATCATAACGTGATCTATCTTTGGTATTAAATTAATAATACCTGTATAATGTTCAAGCTGTAGTTTTATATCTTCGGTAACTTCGTGAATAAGTTTGACAACGTTATGCCAATTTTGTCTACACCAAACGTTTATAGTACCATCTAAATTAGAAAATCGTTTACTATCGTTTGGTAATAAAACGATACCTAATAAATAAGTTGACATGATCGGTGTTTTTTCAAAATGTGTCCATAAATATCCCTTCTCGTCAATTGATGATTGTTCTTTGATCGGCATGTTGGATAAAGCAACGTATAATTTAGGATGTTTTATGGAAATGGTAAATGTTGCTTTCATATTGGGTTCATCGAAACATGGAAAGACACGACGTGCAAAGGTCGTTTTAAAATTTGTAACGACGTATCTACTAAAAAAAAAAAAGATTTGATTTTGTTGTTATTAATAACAATAGGCAATAAGATTTTGGATTTTTGTTTGTTTGTTTTTTTTAAATCTATTTCCATCGTTTTAAAATACTGTGATACAATGACTCAAGTTTTATTCGATAAGATATATAATAGATAATATATAATAGATTAAATATGTGTTATTTCTATGATGTATAAATGTTGTACGTACGTGCAGGTACCTTGTTTTTCGTCTGTATAAAATCTCCTGTTAAAACCATGAGAAGTATCTTCGAGTAAACCTTTAAACGTGAAATGTAACTTGTAACAATCTGGTTCAATGACATTTTGAAAACGTAATACAAACAATTCTTTTTCCTTGACATAAATTTGTTCGATAGGTTTGAAATGTTCATTTTTCGTATTAATCAACAACGTGGTTGTTTCGTTTATGATTATTTGATCGCAATGCAATGTAATATCGAAAGTTGATTTTCTAACAACGAGATCGATACATGTTTCACCGTCAAATTTTGAAAAGCTTAATGTCAACTTGATATTGTAATGAGTTGGTCGTACGCCATCCGGCAGACGATAATTAATTTTCTCCGGTTTGTATCGATCGGCATTCTGACTATTATCATCAATTTCAAACATCGTAGTTGTGTGACAGCTGTAAATAAGATAATTAAATTGCATATTGATGCTTTCGAGGATTTCATATTTAATTTGAATTCATTTTTGTTACAACAAAATAATGATTAGTGTCAATTTCTCAATTAATAATTTATCACATTTTACGACCTTGCTAGATTAGATTATCATTCGATCGTACGAATTAGAATTAACGATTATATCGAAGTGATGATTTATTTTCTCGATAATCAATGATCCAGGATATTTCGTCAAATTTACAAATATTATTGATGTTATCGCTTAAAAACTAATTAAAAGTAAAGTATAGTTTCAAAAAAAAAAACGTAATATACAAGTTTGTAGATAATAAAAGGAGTCTCAAAATATAATGGTAATTATATATATTTATATACTTAATAAAAATTACCTGATCTCGTGTATAATAAATTTGTTTGCAATTTTTATTTATCGCCGAAAGATTAATTGTTACTGATTGAATCTTTAAATGAATGTATTAAACAAATTATAGATAATAGTATCTCGAATAACAAGTAATACATAAAATAAAGTTTTCTATTATCATAAAATATTTATAATACTTCATTAAATAAAGATAAAGAAAGGTATAGACAGAGAGAGTGAGAGAGTTATTTCTAGATGATCGATAATAATTGCAGCATGTTTATTTTTACATAATGAGATAAAGCACTTATCATTATGAGTCACCTACACCTACCTTTTTTTCCTTGAACGTTTCTTTCACTTTTTATAATACGACGCACTAATACACCTCCCGAATAATTTATTTAATATTACAAACCTATTTTTTAATAGAAATAAAAAAAAAAAGAAAATGTTCTTATTATAGAAAAAAAAAACGGTAGATGATGTTGAAGAAGAAGAATAAGAAGAAGGTGAGGATTAAAAAGTTAGGAAACACACGCGATACGCGTCATCATCATACAGTCAGTCTATTGAAATTTCTTCGTTCGATTCGCCATGACGGTTTATTATTATCACCAGTATTACGAAGTTTCACGAGAATTGTCGATTACTTACGATCGTTGAGTATGTTTCATTCATTTTTTTAAAAAAAGTGTTACACTCATTCACATATTTCTCATATTTCTTGAAGTAAAAACTTTTTTAAAATGGGAATGACTTAAAAACGGATGCGACGAAAAAGCGATAAGTGGCGATAAAAAAATTAAACAAACCCGATCAAACGAAATGAACAGCTACGTTAGTATAAAGAGAGAAATAGATAAACACAGATAAATTTAGTTTAAGAGAGATTGTGATAGAATACAGTATACAGTTATTTCCTGTTCTCGAACTCATCTTTATGCGGTGCCTTGGAATCCCCACTTCTGGTTACTAAACATTGTAAATGTGTGTGTTTGTATGCAATTGTATACTACGAAACGTATTAATTATAACATTAAAGTTTAATTTTTATTATTATTTATAAAAACATTACGCCTGTAGGAATGCAACCCACCAGACACACTTTGAATTTTCTGCCCGAAAGACAGGCAACCTGTAATACATGTATGTATGAACAGTTTGGGCCGAAAAAAAATTCCGTCCCAGTAGATGGTGTTCGCAAGCAACATTTTCAAAATGTGTCTGAAGGGTTGCATTCCTACAGGCGCGCATTTTTATAATTATAATAATATTATTTAATTAATTATCCTACTTCTGATACTATGCACTCGTCTCATATTATAAAATAATAATAACAATGTTTAATTGAGGTAGATATGTATTTATATAAATTTATTAATTAAATTTGCATTATTATTTTTGCATTAATCGATTATAGTAGCATTGACGATATCTAAAAGTAGCGGCATATATTTGTCGATTTCTTCTTGAATCGCCTCAAAATGAAGTATCATTTGGTTTAATGGTTTTTCTTTAGATGAAAGTATGTCTATCATCTGTAAAAAAAATAATGCACTTGTTATAAACGTTGTGATCTTAAAAATAGAAGGAAAGAAATAGAAATTGATTGATATACAGACCTTTTTTAGTTGTTCTCTCGTAGTTATTCGATATAAAATGAAATTAAGAATATCATCTATTCTATCATTTCTAAAAAATAATCAAATAAAAATCAAATTAATAAATAATATTTAATTAGTTAGTTTATAAATAATATTATATATTATAAAGATTATTTGTGTTATTACTTTGAAATTGGTTGATTCAAATTTTGATTAATAAAATCTATGAGTACGTCAATGCTAATTTGAGATGTAAGCACCATTTGTTCTAATACAGTATCAATATCTTCTTTAGAAATTGGAGAATCTTCGGATAAGGTTATATTCAAGTAATTTTCTAGAATTGTTCGATTGTACGAACACGATAGATAATTTAAAAATATTTTGTCCTGTTTCATAATGTAATAATTTAGAACAATATTCCATACAGTCTCGTTTGCATTTTGTAATCCGTAACAAAATACCCAATCTTGCGAATCTGGTAATATCCTACGAATTTGATGAAACTTATCATCATTCTGATAAATTTATGTTAATTAAATTATTGAAAAATAAATATTCACGTTATCGATTCCGGATTTTCAAGATAATCGATTAATTGTGCTGTTGCATTTTCTAAACATTCAGGAACATCAACCATACAAGCAATTTCTTTGATGATCAGTTTCATTCTCTTAGTCCAAGAATCATCTTCCAGATTATCTTCATAGTCCATATCTTTTAATTTATTATTAAGAAGCTGTCTTATATAAGGCTGCAATAATAGACAAAATTACATTAGTATTAACCTTTGCTTACCACACTTGGTCCAAAGGACCCAGACGACCTTTTTTTGCCACTTGAGTCATTTTTCTCAATTGTTCAACTTTGATAATTTTGTAAACATATTTAAATTTAATTTAAAGCTATAAAACCAATATAGTCTTTTTAAGTAAGTATCAAAGAAGTCTAAAAAAAATGTTGAAGTAAATCTATGCAATAATTTTTTTTTTATAACAATTTTTCTCGTTCGGGTCCAAATGACCCAGGTGTGGTAAGCGTGTTACTCCAAGAAGGGTGGTTAGCAAAGGTTAATAAAAATGTTAATATCAGGAATTTTTTCTAACTTACCTTCATTACAACCTTAATTTGATACTCTTTCAAATAATTAAATCCTAAATATAATCGATATAAAAATTTCCATACTAAAGGATCAGTTTCTCGCGATATATAATTTAATATCATTCCAAATGTAGTACCAGATATATCTTCTTCTTTTAAACTGTTCAAAGCATCGTCGATTATTTGAACACGATTTAAAACGTGTATATTTTTGTAATCATCGGAATTTAAATAACGTGCTATTCTCTTCCAATTTTCTTCATCATAATGCACGCGATAATATCCTATGATAAATATATATATATATAATAAAATGAAAAAATACAATAGAAGTTTAAAATTTATATTAAAGTATACCAGTTTGTTGAATATTAACGATGATCCAACCATCTTTAGGAAAACCTTCTATCGTTTTCGTACTCTCCGATGGACTCAACCAATGTGTGGGTAAAGTCGATGAAAAATCAGGATTATCTTGGGTAGCAAAGTTCAAAGGTATCCACCATTTATTATTACACGCTTGATTAAGTTGTTGTTCCTTTAACGTAGCACCATATTGTCGTACTTGTATAGTCCCATTATTGTAATCTCGATCCACGATAATCCTAGGATGTCCTTCTTGTTTCGTCCAAGTATCCATCATTGATTTTATATCGATATCTTTGTGTTTCACATTTGACTCGTTCAGAACAACTTGCAAGGATCGCCATAAATCATCTGGTGTAACGGTCTTATATTTACTGATATAAAAATACAAGAAAGAACAAAACAAAAAAACAATTTGTTTTCCATTTTTCAAAAACACTTTCAATCCATAATTTGACTTACTTTTCATAAATATATTTGATAAGACCGGCACGAAAGATTTCATCGGTGATACAATGGGACAACATTCGTAAAACGATGGCAGCTGAAAAGAACATATTGATAAAATGAAAGATTTTATTTTTGAAGATAATATTAAATCAATCAACCAGATTTAGTCTTCTTACCTTTACGATAAGTAATGAAAGAATAAATTGTAGGAATATCTGAAGGGCTATTAACAATTTTATTCATCGGAAATTGATCCTGACAGTTATCCATTTTGAAAGCAATTTGCATAACATCCAAGATGAATTTATCCATTATTCGTTTTTCATGAAATAGCTGTTCATAGAAAAAAGATATGATAGAATATTCAATTTCATAAGAAATAGATCAAATGATATCAGTAATGTAATCACCATTATAATTACGTTACCTTATCAGTTATGTAAAATTGAAAGTAAGCAGCAAAACCCTCGCTCATCCACATGTATTCCCACCAACTTGGACCAACCAGATTACCAAACCATTGGTGTGTCATTTCATGAGCAATTAACATCACGATTCTATCCATTTCATCCATGGTAGTTTCATTTTCGTTGTAAACCACTAATTTTTCTCTATAATACCCACAAGACATTTCATTTAATCAAATGTTCTTATACAAATTGATATTACATCTTTCGTTATATTTATTAAATGATATTTTTTACTTGTATGTGATAAGGCCCCAATTTTCCGTAGCACCGCTAGAATAATCAGGTACAGCAACGTGATCAATTTTTGGTACAATTACACCAGTCCCCATGTATTTCTTCAATTCGTCTTCTACTTTTGGAATGATTTCGAGAGAAAATTGTAATAAAGGAATGACTGATTTTCTAGCCCAAATTGTAATGTTTCTCTCTGGTAAAGAAATATGTTCGAAATCGGTGATTACAAAAGCCAAGATATTAGTTGCCATGATCGGTGTCTTTTCAAAACGAGTCCATACTTCATCCTCGTTTTCATCAGTGAACGATCTTTCGTACGCTGGCATATTTGACAATGCCGTAAAATTGGCACAGTGTTTTAAGGAAATGTTAAATGTTGCTTTAAACGCTGGCTCATCCCAACACGGAAAGGTACGACGAGCGCTGATTGGTTGAAAGTGAGTTACAGCAAGCCACCTAATTCACATTATTATTGTCGATTGTTTCATTTGTTTTCTTTTTTTTTTTCTTATTTTTTTTTTTTTCGTAATAGTAATAATAAATTCAACTTACGTTCTATCACCGTTCTCGTTGGTGTATGAGTTACGATAAAAACCACGTAAATTCGTTGAAAATACACTTGAAAATTCCAAATGTAAATTGTAAGTTGCTAATTCGATGATATTGTCAAAAACGAGTATTAACATTTCTCTATGTAAATCGTAACGATGTTCCTTAGGTGAATACGATTCCCCGTTGTTGTCATTTTTTAAATAACTTTGCGTTTCATTTATATCAATATTATTCCAATTTAATTCGATTAATTTCGTTGGTTCACAAACCTCGATTTTAATGTCTAGTACACCGGTACAATTAGAATCAGGCATCACGATATCAGTTTCCAATTGTAAATCGTAATGAATCGGTACAACGTTTGTCGATAATCGATAAACAATCGTATCACTTTCGTTTCCAACATTTTTGTGGTTTGCCGATTGAAAGGAAAACGCTTCGATGGTAACAAGTACGAATAGTAAGTTTAATAACTTTCTTAACATGATAATCTATCGTTTTCTCTCTTTTTTTTTTGTTACTTTTAAAATTGAATTTAATTACTATGATCAATGTTGATTAGAATTGAATTATTTAATTTTTGCGAAAGACTGTTGTTAGTTAGTTAGATTGTCTAATCTATGAACAAAAGACACTGTGACTAATCAGTTAAAGAATAACACATAATGTGAAAAACACTTATATGTTAAGAAACGATATTATCGTGAAATAGTTTTGCAAGAGGAAAAATGTTAGTTTTTATTCATAAGAGAGCATTTATAATGAAATGCATTATTTACGCATATGCCCTATGCGACCTGTATGACGCACGTGACTATTGTCGTATCTATATTATATATATGAACACGTAAATGCATCATAAATAGTGTGGATAGGAATTATATGATATTTTCTAATTGTATAATCGAACTAAAAAAAAAAATATTGGAATATTGGACATTTCAATTGAAATCTCACAATTAAAAATAGTTAATTCGTATGATCATTCATTTTAATTGAAAATTATTTACAATAAAGTTATCGTTTTTAATTCTTAGATATTTACAGAGAATATATGTTAATTTACAATGTAACTATGTGTGTTACATTAATTCTTTTGTATGAAGCCATTCATTAAAAATATTCAACATTTGTTCATACTGCGTTAAAGATTTTTCTCTTTCCTTTATGCGCATCGTAATATCTTCATCTTCATCGAGATCTTTTAAATGCAATTTTATCTGAAATAAAATAATGTCATTAATTAATGCAAATAATTATGCAATATTTTATCAAATTTACAAACCTCTTCTAACTTATTCTTATTCGTAGCTGTGACTATCATATATTTGGACAATCCCAATCGTAAATTTTCACTAAAAATCATAAGAAGAATTTTTTTTATAAATAATAAAATCATAATAAAAAAAAAAAAAAAAACAAAGAGAAATTATTCAATTTATTTTACCGTGACTTAATTATATCCCAATTTTTAAAAATGAAATTTGTAGTCACATTTATCTTTTCAAGTCCACCGTAATATAAAGCTTCGTAAATTTCCTTGCAGTTTTCTTTTGTAAATGTTGAATTTTCAGCTATAGTCATATTCAAATATTTTTCAATGGCAGTTTCATTTTTAACATGCATCAAAAATTCAACGATCTCTGATACATTATTATTCTTTAAATCCCATATCTCATTCCACATAGATTCGTTGAGACTATTTGATCCATAGAGATAAGCCCATTCTTGCAGATCTTTTGGATATCTACAAAATATTTCTTTGATAGCACACCATAGAATATTTATCGATAATTTCAAAAACTTACTGATTTTTATTAGAAAATTCGAAAAATTCGATTATTTTAGTATTGGCAGCCATTATGCATTTGGGATGATTAAGTTTACAAGCCAAGTCTCTAACTTTTGTCTTTGTCAATTGAGTTGTGTAATCATCATCAGGATCAAAATCAAAACCAACGCTATTGATGAAATTATTTGTCAAATTAAGAAGATACGGCTGTAAAAATAATAAATAAATAATTGTAGAACTAAAATACATGCAATACGAATAAAATGAAAATTAATCAAAGTGTCTATCATTCACCTTAATAAGCTTATCACCTTCTGTGATTTCTAGAAAAATATGTAACTTATAATCAAATATTTGAAATACTGAACGCCATACGATATAATCAACTTCACGTGATAAATAATTAAACAAATCTAAAAATATTGTTAAATTCATTCTATCTTTAACAAGCATGCTGTAAGAATCTTGAATGATTTGTGCTCGATTAAGAACGTGTATCTTTTTGTAATTAGGTGAATTTAAATACTTTGTCAACTTTATCCAATTATCCTCATCGTAATTAACTTGATAATGTCCTTAAAAAAAGTACGCTTTTATCATTTTTTTTTTTTTTAATTATTCTTTTATTTTATTTAAAAATTTCATTAATACTTTACCAGTTTGTTGCACGTTAATTATTATCCAATCATCTTTATCAATACCATTAATAATAATGCTATCGTTGTTAGGACTCAACCAATAAACTGGTAGAGTTGACAAAAAATTTTGATTTGTTTTTGTCGCATAATTTATTGGTATCCACCATTTATCCTTGCAAATATTTAAATCACATTTATCAATTGATACTGTGTTATTGTCATCGATACAATTTTGAGCAATTTCTTGAGTAATCGTTGCCTCGCCAGTAACGTAATTTCTCTCTACTGTCACTAGAGGATAATTTCCTTGATATATCCAAGTTTCCATTACTTCTTTAACTGTAAAAATACCACCTCGTGATATTTCTGGAGTATTGTCTACACCATTTTGAATTTCCTGAAATAAATCGTCGGGTAATGCGTTGCCGTATTTACTGCAAAATAAATTATAGAAAAATGTTATTGAAAAATGTCATTAAACTCGATTGCTTTAGGGTAGGAAGGAGGAATGGCGTTCACTTAAGGAAAATACGTTGTACTTTTCAAAATATTAATGGTACTTCAAAATTTCAAAAAAAATAACAACTTCTTTAACTATTCATTAATCAACATTTTATCTTTGACTTATAAGTATTAGAAAATTATTATAAAAAAAAAAAAACAGGCTTTAGCACCATTGTCCCTGACTTTGGGTAATGCCGCTCAGGCTAAGGGGTTATGGGGTTTATTGCTTCCCCGTTTGTTCGCCACTTTTAATAGATCCGACTCTTTTTTGTCCTTTTTCGGCGAACACCTTCCCTGGGTTTGTCACCGTGGTGATACCAGTCTCGTCACCATTGTAAATGTTGTTTGGAAGGAACTTATGTTTTATGTTTACCGAAAATTAGATCAGTGTGACCGTAAACGGAGAAACACATTTCACGGTCACCGGTCTGACCGAGCTGACTTCCCGTACGCGTCGCTACCTGTTAGAGGACCCCCGCCGCCCCCACCCCCCTCCCGCACTTCACGCGACCGGCCTGTTGCTATGTTCCATTTTGACAAAGTTATACCCAGTGAACGCTATTCCCCCTGCTTCACTTACTTACTTTTTTTCTAGATAATTAATAAGACTCGTATGAAAAACTTCTTCAGTAACGATATGGCGTAACATATTTAATAAAGATGGTGCTGAAAATGAGACAATGCAAATATGAATTTTCCTTTAAAATTAAAACACATCAAAAAACATTTAATTATCTCGATTACTTACTTTTCATGTATAATTCTCTATCGAAAAGATCCTCAATATCTTTGGGACTGCTTACGTTACGACTGATTGGCTTTTCGCAAGTATAATTGCCATTATAATAAATAAATAATGGTAAATGAAATGGTAACATTTCCATGAATCTCCAATTCGGAAATATCTGCAATATTAGTGCAATGAGTCAAGAATAATTTTATTTTTGTAATTTAATAAATAAAATAAATCAATTTGTGGCTTACGGTCTCGAAAGAGACCAGACCTTGCAACCGGCTAACGTTCAGCGTTATAATTGCCTAAGTTAAGTTTTTCTTGATCGAAAGATCTTCAGGGTAGGGTGATCAATCCCTACACCGTTCCAAGATCATCGTGGTGATTTGCGAAGCAGGCCTTACCGGTAAAAACACGGGGCGCAAAAACACGATCTCACAAACCACGACCGGAGCACAAGCATGCTTTTCTTATTCGATGTCGGAGAGCGGGACTCGAACCCGCGACTCCGGGTGGGTGTCGAGCGCTCTGCCGACTGAGCTTATGCCGTGCTTTTATTTTTATAATTACAAAATGTAAATTTGTCTTTCTTTCTACTCACCTTGTCAGTTATATAAAATTGAAAAAACGAAGCGAAGCCTTCGTTCAACCAAATGTGATTCCACCAAGTTGGACTGACAACGTTTCCGAACCATTGATGCGTCAATTCGTGAACAACGATCATAGCAGTCATAGTTTTATCGTGAACAGTGGATGTATTTGGATTGTAAATAAGAAGTATCTCGCTGAAATTAATCGTAAATGGATTATTTTGAATGAATTTTTCTTATAAATAAATAAACATCGAGAATTGTTTACTGATATGTTATGAGACCCCAGTTTTCCATAGCACCATGATTATAATCTGGAATAACAACGTGATCCATTTTTGGTATTCGCATCGAACTGTTCGTATATTCTTCAAGAAGAACAGAAGCTTTAATGGCAACTTCGTAAGCGAAAGTAATCGAAGAAAGAATGTTATTTCTTGCCCAAATGGTAATTGTACCGTCGGCGTTAGAAATATTAACAAAATCTGATACAACAAAAGCCAAGGTGTACGTTGACATTATGGGAGTTCTTTCAAAATGTGTCCATATTTTTCCATCATTTTCATCGATTATCGATCTCATGGCAACCGGCATATTTGAAAGGGCTGTGTAATTCGTTTCATGTTTTATGGACACGTTAAAGGTAGCTTTTAAGGATGGTTCGTCCCAACATGGAAATGCTTGTCGAGCATAAGTAGGTTGAAATTGTGTTGTTGCTAACCATCTATAGAAATATTTGTCATTGAAATAAAATATGTGATAATAGAAATTTGTTATAAATATTATTTTTAATACTCACACTTTGTCACCGTAGTCATTTATATAAGAACTTCTGTAAAATCCTGTCAATTGGTCATTGATAATACCCGTGAACTTGGTGTAAAACCTGTACATACCTTTCGGTATAACTTTTTCAAAACTTATTGTCATGATTTCTGTTTCATTGACATAAACAAAATCAATTGGCACGTATTTTTCACCATCCATGCTTTCTAAATAAACACCAGTCTCGTCGTATGTTAATTCGAGAGAATGAAAATCCAATGTGTTCGTCATACTTTTCAAATGAAGTAAAGTAATCGTTTCTCCATCAAAAGTGAAATTATTCTCTTCTATATACGGTATTAATTTGATATTGTAATTTATCGGTACCGCATTGCCACTCAAACGATATGATTCTTCCGATATTTTCCGATCAATGTTTTCATCATTCTCTGAATTTTCATCTTCCAAAGGTAACGTCATTAAACTTCGTGCCAATAGTAAAAGTAAAGCAACTAGTGTTACGATTTTTGCCATCTTCTTAAAATAATATAACAATTTATGATAATATTTTTGTACAAATGACAAATTTTTTTTTTTCATTCACAGTTCATATTGTAAGAACAAATTCAATAAGAAAAGAAAAAATTAATATTTAGAAAAAATAATGATTGTATTGTATATTTAACACGTTCGTCGCGCCCAGCACGTTTCGGTTGAGTTTCTCGTCAGGCCCAAAATTCGACAGTCAACGCGTTTTAACGTAAAGAAACGATAAGTAAAAATATCAACAATGCGACCCGAGTATAATTATGGTTATATTATATTATTATATTTTATTTACCGAAAATAATTTTCTTTCGAAATGGGAAATGTGATAAGTTGTTCCAACTAAAAATACTATAACTTTAACAAGAAGAATGTCACCGTATACGGTGACAGGGCCCTCGGGGAAGTATGACCGTCTCCGGTATACAGTGCCATGGCGACGAACGTGTTAGAGATACCACTGTAATATCACCTTGTTTGACGTATTGTTTCGTATACTATGAGTTCTTATTGTGTGTGATCAAAGATTATTATTAAATACTGTATAATCGAAATTAAATATAAAGTAATATAAACAACTATTGTGTTATTGATATTCGCGTAACATTTTGTTTTCTAATTTCTTGTTTATACAATTTAATCGATATAATATTAAAATAAGAAAGAAAAACAAAAATTCGTAATAAACGACGATGATTTCACGTATGAAACTGATTGAACGAATAATTTACAAGTTAAATTTACTATACCTTTTTACATAAACGCGCATGCGCTTTCAGACAAACAACTAAGCACGATTGTCTATTAAAATTATATTCATATATATATACTCGAATTCTTTGAACCTTGATCTATAACTTGTTTGCTAATCGTTAATAATAAAATATTCATTTAATTATTTCTTAACGAAACTTTCTTACATACAATTATCAATGTAATATATTTAATCGAAATATCTAACGAATTTAATTTTAAATTCTATTAATATTCAAATAAATTAACATATCGCACACTAATATAAAGTAGTAATATTTTATTAATATAAATTATATATATATATATATATATATATATATGATTGGTTAACAAGCAGATATTTACAATAATTATTGTGTCTGTTACATCTATTTAACATATACATATACATTTAACGTACATCTATATTTTCAAATACGTTGTTTTCAGTTAAAAAAATATCTTTTGTTTTTTTTTTTTTTTTTCAATGAAATATCACCGTAACATTTTCTTTGTCTGTGTACATATATATAAAATGTAAAAATTAATAATCAAAGAAAATGAAAAGAATAATTATTGAATAATGTTACGGCATGATGAAATAATGTTTTCATCATGATTATCTATTGAAAATAATTCTAAAATTAAAATTATTGTTATTGTAGTACTGTTAATAATAAAGATATAGTTATTAAAACTGTAGTAAATGTAAGTGAACTTGAGCTATTTGGTTTTTCGGTTGTCGGTGGTGGTGGTGGATTATTTATTTCCGTTAAAGTGCTATTAATGATATCATTATATTGATCGTACCATTTCATATTTCTGTCTGCAATATCCAAAATTATTACCGAGTCTTTTAAATCGCTGGCTAAAGTAACATTATGTAACTGAAAGAAACATAATATATAAATAAATAAATGTTAATTAATAAATGTTAAATTTTATCAAATAAAATGTGAAATAAACAAATAATTTCTAACCAAAAGTATATCCTTTTCAGAAACAACTCTGCTCGCAAATTCAGTAAGGTAATCCTGTAGGTTTTGCTTAAATTGATGGTTACTGAAAAAAAAAAAAATAAAAAAGTGAAACATTTGAGTATTATATACATTTACGTATATAATTAATAGATATTAATTTTTCTCTACTATATAATTTAATTAATTATTGAATGACTTACAAAGCCTTCAATTGTTTCAGATTTTTGTCCAAAAATTCAAGAACAACTTGTACACCAATAGGATTATTTGAGTATATTGTTTCGAAAGTCTCGATGAAATACATCTTTAAAGGTTCCACATGAAGTAATTGGTCAAGGAACTTTTTCAAAATTTCTGATGACGATGAACAACCCAAAGAAGAGATCATGTCTGATCTCTCATCATTGCTCAAGTCAGTTTGTGTCATTCCTTTCATGAAAAATCCATACCATTCATCTTCAGTCATATGCCTTGCTGCTGCACATAATGTAACTTTCTTCAAATCTTGAGAAAGACTGTGAATTTACAATTATTAACAACTGATTAGATTGTTTGATTTTTGTTAAATCTTATCTTTATAAATTAGAGATAAAAATAAATCAAATCAAATATATATATACTCACGTAACATTGCTATTTGGATCTAACGCAAGACGAACTTGTTCAACGGCGTAATTTTTGCATTCATCCAATCCAAAAGCACAAGCCCATTTTATGGCGTCCACTCTTAAAAGTTTTGTTAAATAATTTTCTTTCTCACCATCAACATCTGATGTAATATTAAATAACTGTTGAGCAATTGGCTTGAGATAAACCTAAAACATTCAAAGATACTACGTTAAATTTTTATTCAATAAATGATATTACAAAATAACAAAATAATTCATAATGTATTTAAAAAATATACCAAAAAGTCATTGTATATATCAGTTAAGCCTAATTGTTTGTTCAACGTTGATAAACCATTTAACGCGGCCTTCCAAACGACATAATTTGTTTCTTTCTCAAGGTATCTGACTAATTTCAAAGTTACGTCGTAGTTCAAATATCCGGCTTGGGCCAAATTAAAAGCATCATCGATTAGTTGAGCACGGTTCAAGGGATTTATGGTTGCGAAATCTCCATTTAACAAGTATTTAGATAGGATTATCCATGAGTTAATATCGTAATTGACTCGATAATATCCTTGAAATATTACAAGAACAAAATGAGAATATAAAGAACAACAAAATCAGATAAATATTATAAACAATTATTTTTCTTCCGTTAAGCTTACCAGTTTGTTGTACGTTGAAAATAACCCAACCTGCTACGTCGACATCTTCCTTAATAGTTAAATTTTCGCCGGGTTTCAACCAATGTTGAACGGAAGTATCACTGAACGTTGAATTGTCTTTCTGTTGTACATAGTTCAAAGGAATGTACCAAGATTTTTTTTCAGTATCATTTTTTTTGACTAAATAAAATGGTTCTTGTGTTATGGTGATAGATGAATCTTTGTCTTTTCTATCTACGGTCACCGTAATTACTGGATATCCATTTTGACTTGTCCAAGTTTTAAAAACTGTAGGTAGGTCAGTATCTTTCGGCAAATTATCCTTGTTTGCAACTTTTGTGAGAGCTTCAAAAAGTTCTTCCGACGTCACTGATTTAAATTTACTAACAAATAAAAATGTGTTAATTAACAATCATATATTTTCAGGATAATGATAAAAGATTAACAATTAAATCATCTTACTTGGTGTCAAGATAATTTTGTAAACCTTTTTGGAAAGTATCCTCTTTGAGAACGTGACTGAACATTCGAATGACAGAAGCACCTGTAATAAATCAATTTTACGTAATAATTAATTCATATAAAATATTGTGGGATTCGTGAGAAAAATTGGATCGCTGCTGGACTGATTGGACCAGGACTCGAACCACGGATCTTTCGCTTTCCGGGCCAACTGCTCTTTTAATCAATTGAGCTATCCAGGGCCCACCGACCAATCCTTCTCACGAATGCTCAATAAGTTTGCCACGGAGTCATTCGTCCCACAATAWTATTTTAAATAAATAAATTACCTTTATCGTAAGAAATAGTGTCGAACGAACTGCTAATTTCTTGTTCGGAAGTTTCATCGTAATCCAAAGGCCGTGTTTTATGTTCATAAGCATCATAAGCAAGTGCATTTTGGAGACATTTCACGTTAAATTGATGCATAAAATGCCAATCTTGATTGATCTGTAAAATGTAGATATCAACTGCATTATAATGCATCAATGAAAATAGAATTGTTTTTCAATTATGTCAATTCTTACTTTATTGGCGATTAAGTATTGGAAATAAGTTGCAAAACCTTCGTTGAGCCAAACGTGTTTCCACCATTTAAGAGTCACTAAATTTCCAAACCACTGATGTGCAAGCTCGTGGGCGATTATACTCGCTACTCGTTGTTTATCGATAGTTTTATTTAATTTCTCGTCGTACAAAAGAGATGTTTCTCTATTAATCAAATTGATTAATTAGTATTACAAAGAAAGAAAGAAAGAAAACAACAAAAAATACTTACAAATTATTGAAGATATGATTTTCCTTACCTATACGTCACGAGACCCCAGTTTTCCATTGCAGACGGTTTCAAAGAAGTTAAAGCAATTTGTTGCATCTTTTTATGACCCCCTACACTATATTCAATTCCAGTATAATTCTTCATAGATTGTAATACTTGACCACCAATTTCTGCAGCTGTTTTTGTCATATCCACAACTTCTGGTCTTGAATAAACAATTACATTATCTTTTTCATATTTAGAAAATTTAGTTACCGCGTATGCTACAAGATACGTGGACATTTTTGGAGTTTTTGTGAACGTTGTTTCTTCAATATCTCCTTCGACTTTTATCGATTCTGAATGCATATTTGAAATTGCTTTATATCCTTTATTATATTTTATCTTGATAGAGAAAGTTGCTTTTAGATCTGGTTCATCAAAACATGGGAAAGCATTTCGAGCACCGATTGGTTCAAAGTCTGTCACAACATACCACCTATATGAATTCAATACAAAAGTAAAATTAGTTAATAATAAAAGCAAATACAAAATTTTATAATATTGAATACATATTATTTCATTCATTCATCAATGTGTTTTAGGTTTTTTTTTCTTACTGTTCGTTTAATTCTTGATCCATATAAGAACCCTTATAAAATCCTTTACTAACATCACTTATCACTCCTTCATAGTCCAATTTCAAAGTATAATTTTTATCTTTTGTGATTGCAGTATCTAATGTCAATGTATTAATGTCTGTGCCTTCTACACGTTCTACCCCAGTTATTTTAATCGGTTTACTCTCATTAGGCTTAGTATTAGGATCAAGTAATTCTGTTTTCGTTAAACTGATTAAGTTTGTAAAATGGAGCTTAATTTCTTTCGTTTCTTTATCTTCAACGTGTAACATTATATTAACGCTTCCAGTATATTTATAATCAGGTTTTTTTAATTGCTCCATGTCTAAAGTCAATGAAATGTCGTAATGTGTTGGTATAACATTTTTAGGTAATCTATATTTAGGCGGAGTTCCCTCATTTTCCGCATAACTGCTTTTATCAACAATTGTTTTCTTCTCATTAAACACTCGATTATTTTCTAATGTATTAACATTTTGTGATGGATACTCAGCCAAAGTTATCACCACGAGCAACGTCATGGACATTAACACTTTTAAAAAAGCCATATTTGATGGAAGGTAGAGTTTCTTACTACTGCAACGATCCAAATTTCGAATTTCTGTCAATTTGATCAAAATTGATTAATTAAATGACATATATATATATATTTTTAATGACATTTAACTTATGAAAAATATATATTTGAATTAATATAGAAATTTCTGTAACTTTGTTCGAATTTCTAAGAAATCTTTCGTTCAATTCTCTCGCGAAATATTTCGTTGCTGTATAACTCGTTATAATTTGAAATGTTCATAGAAACGTTTGCTAATAATAATACACGATTGAACGTTGAATTTCTGTTTGTAAATAGATGTAAAATGAATGAAACGATTTATCTTTCGAACGAATTATATAAACACGTAATACTCGTTTATAATTCGAGAACACAATATGAAATGGAAATTTTCTTTGCTTTCACATAACACAATTCACAGTTGTAATTGTTCCCCAAAGTTACAGAATATTTCCTGTATAATTATATATATATATTTATAAATGTTAAATACACACACAATAGATACAAATATAAAATGTAAGAATAAAATAGTATACCTTTAAGAGAGATAAACGAAAAAAAAAAATTGAAAAGAGAATTGACGTTAACCGTCCGTTGTTCCTCTTCTCTATGGTTGTTGATCGAAAACCCTATCGGCAAAAATCTTCGTGCTTTATAAACCTGTATCGATGTCACCGTGATATAAATTATGTCGATCCCGTCTTCTAATCTTATCGGATTGGTCGTTCACAGTAGAAGATATTATATTCGTCGAGAGATGATTATTAAGTGTTCTATTTTTTAGGTAACTCGCAAAAAAAAAGGTTACTCAAAAATTTCATCAGTGTGATAACGATTAAGAGATAATTTAGATATAATAGAAACCGACCAATGAGAAACGAACGAATAGATAAGAGCACGATTCGATTCGTTGTCTTATCGAAGAAAATCGTTAAAATGTTCATACGTGAAACGTTCAAAAAGTATTCGTCAAGTTTTGTTTTTTTTTCTTATTCATTTATAATAATTAATTTCAATGAAAATTAATTTTATTTCATCTACTATTCGTCAAATTATACAAAATTGAGTTATTGTTTAATAAATAATAAAATATTTAAACAAAAATTTAGAAAAAGGGGAATGCATATATAAATAATTCAATGTAAATTATATTTACAATATAATAGCATACATTGTAGAAAACAAAATATTCCATGGAATAGTACTAGATTGTTTTTTCTTTTTTTTTTTTTTTTTTACTTGTAATATTCATAGGCATATAATTTTTTTCTTTTTTTATCTGTATCATAGATTAAAAACTGACGTCAGCATTTATTTCTAGGTGTCATTTATCTTCAGATAATATGATTCAATGAATATCGATGTGTTGCAACGGTAAGTAACGAGATTATCAATATCTATATACATACGTATGTATGTTATAAATATTTGGTCTATAAATTACAAATAGATATTGTCATTGTTTATTAAGATTGAAAAAAAAATAATATTGTTACAATACTTTCATGTGTTTTACAAAAGTAATCGATATCAAGAAGAATAAGTAACGTCATGACAGAAAGATTTCAAGTATTAAAATGAAGATAAAGAAATAAAATTTGGATACAAAATTCAGATAGTTAATCTCGAAAGATATACGCGTAGAAAATGATTTTTCTTTTAAGATATTTTCTTCAAATATTTGACACATTTAATAATTTCTATTTATCTAATGTTTATATTAATATTACAATGGTTTAAGTATATATATATATATATATATATATANTATATATATATATATATATATATATATATATATATATATGTGATATTTATCGTATATTAGGAAAAAATATTTTATACATAATGTATATATGTTATTATCACATATATCACACATTTACAAATTAGATTAGAGATTTGTGGCAATGATAGGCGCATATTTGTCGACCCACTTTGCATTTTCACCAACAGAAACAATTGCTTTTTTAGCTGCTTTTAATGCTGATCCAAGACGATTCGTATTATTTTCGACGAAATGACTAAGCTATAAAAATCCAATGTCGTACATTATTAATCATGATTCATTACAAATATATTTATCGTATTATTATTAATGATAAATAAGTATTAATAATTACTTTGTTCATTTGTTCCTTAGTTGTCATATTCTCTCCAATAGTATTCAATATTTTACCTAAGAAATCATATCCCCGTCTGTTGGATAAAAATAATAATTATTTTATAGTTATTTTACTGTAATCAAAAATATATATCTACGTTTTAATATATATATATATATATATATTCGATACGTACGAATCGATAATGCTTTCGAGATTGTTTTCAACGAATTTTAAAGTATGATCAACGTTCTCTGGATTACCCTTCGTAACAGCATTAACTATCGAAAATCTGTATTGTTTACGAATTTTCGAACTTTGAGTAATCGATACGTTGAGATACCTATCGACAAATTACAATTTGTAAATTATTATTGGTAAACGTGTGTAATCTATTTGACTTGTTGAATGCTACTATGAAACATACTTATTCAATAAAATAGGATTTCGACTACAACCAAGTGCAGACAATAAAAGTTCTTGTTCGATATGTAAATCCGTTTCCAAAAATTTGTTCCACACTTTAAACCAATCATCATCATTCCCATTACGTATACCAATGCAATAAACGAAACTTTTCAAATTTGCCGATATTCTAAATAAAAAAAAAAATGCCTTTAAAAATCATTTTGATGATTTACGTATTAACGCCACTGCAGTCAAATTCCGATAATACGCCAATTTACACTTTCAATTGTTGCGACAAATCATAGAATAACAAAACTTGATTTAAAATCAAAACACTTTGAAAATTCAAAACATTTTATTTAGAATAAGTAGTCAATCGGATTTCGGTGGAAAATAATCGGGTCGATATAGAATTTAACATAGATTCAAAACAGTCTCTAAATCTGACGAAACCCTGACGGTTGTTGTGTGCAAACAACAAGATTGTTGCATGCGAACAACAAGATTGCTTTTTATTGGCGCATTAGCGGAATTTTTGCTGCAGTAGCATTAATACGTAAGTACCATCATTTCAAATCATCTTGTCAATGTTTATTCTATTTTTTTTTTTTTTGTATTTTTTACGTTTTATTCGATTCCGATATCCACGAACTAAATAACATTTTCGATGTCTCGAGGCAGTGTACGTTATTGAGAGCACACGCGGTAGATAAAATTATCTCACGTAGAAGTTTCGTTTGTACGTTATCGTGATATAAATTCTCCGTGAATCCTAATAACTTGTATATAGGTAGAATCAAATTTTCGGCATATTTCTAAAAAGAAAAATAAAATCAATTTAAATTCAGGTGATTATCAAAAAATATTATCTCTAGCATGGAATATAATTCATTATAATTGACTACAGACAAACAAACAACAAATATTTCTTCTCTCAACCGTGCTACTTATTTTTCATTTTTATTTTTTTATTCATTTCAGTTACCTGGAATGCTTTATGAACCGTAGATATTTTATTTAGAATTCGATTGAGAAACATGAAATTATTAATAGCTGCGATCCAAGGCTCATAATCTGTTTCTCTTTTAAGATACTTGGACAAGTTAAATGGGATCGAATAATTTATATATCCCGATCTTGCCAGATTAAAAGCATCGTCAAGTAGTGCCGCACGATTCACCGAGGGAACTGAGATAAATTCCTTTGATCTTAGGTGATCAATAAGCATCTTCCAATTGGATTCATCGTAATTGACTCGATAGAATCCGATTTGCTGTACGTTGAAGAGTACCCAGTCGTCGTCACGAAAGTTTGGAATCATCGTCCTCTTATTCTGAGGATTCAACCATAGCTTTGGTCGAGTACTTTGAAAATCGATGATAGACGAGCTAGTTGCGAAGGTCAGAGGTATCCACCATGCTCCAAGTTTTTCGTCATTGTCCTTGATTTTATTTTCATTATCTCGATGTAGATTAAATTTTTCTTGCGATACCAATGTCCAATGTCTCGTGTAGTTACGTTTTACCGTTATCAAAGGATACCCAACTTGGTTTGCCCAAGATTCGAATACGTCCTTGATTGATGGACAATCATTCGTGTTATTTGACAAAGTATCGATAGATCTCTGTAAATAATTATACAAGTTGTTTGGTCTTGCTGCACGATATGACCTAAAATGTAACTTTAAACATTATCTCGATTAATTTATATATATATATATATATACACACATAGAAAATATGTACGCATTTTTATCACGTACATTTCCATTAAATAATAATGCAATCCATTTTGAAAGACGTCTTCACCAATGGCATGATTTAACATTCGAATTACTGAAGCTCCTGTAAATAAAAAATGAAACATTTCATTTGATTTATTGTAAGAGATATTTTAGAAACAAATCAAATAGCAAACTTTTGAATAACCTTTTCTATATGTAACAAAATCTAACATTGCCATAATGCTATTAGGACTTCCAACGTTACGTCCATTCATGGATCTATCGTGATTCATAGAATCTAAGAGAAGAGTTGGTTGAACGTAATCGACGACAAACATATCCATCATTTTCCATGTTGGTAATACCAAAGATGGTCCAAAATATTGAAAGTACGAGGCAAAACCTTCCTTTAACCAAGCGACATCCCAAAATTCTGGCGTTACCAAATTTCCAAACCACGTGTGAGCGTATTCGTGTGCCATAGTTGTCAAACCATTGACTATGTTTCTCATTGGAATTGTTTCGTTTTCAAATAAGACAACAGATTCGCGATAAGTTATCATACCCCAGTTTTCCATAGCGTTGAAATTAAAATCGGCTATGGCAAATTGATCCATCTTTTTAATAGGATTCTCAACTTTCATCCAATCTTGTAATGCTGAATAAATTAACCAGCCTTGATTCAAAGCTAAACTACCATGCGATTGCATGCTATCTCTAGTCCAGATTTTAAAATCTTTCGAAAATTTGGCAAATTCTACCACGTAATCGTGTACCGACCATCCTACGAGATACGTTGACATTCTTGGTGTAGTCATGAACGTTGTTAAACGATAAAATTGATCTCTGTAAATGTTTTTTTTTTTTTTTTTTAAATTAATCATCTTGATTAAAACAATACTGTGTTAAAATACTTTATAAATTATTGAAGAAATATTTTTCTTATATACTAACATTTGTTCGATACTTTTGACATTGGTATTACTAGTAACAGTTTGATTAGAATAATGACCAATGGTTATTGTAAATGTTGCTTTGAAGTATGGCTCGTCCATACATGGAAATGCTTGACGAGCGTAAGTTGGTGAAAATTGAGTTACACCGATCCATCTAGAAACGATGAAATGTAAAAAAATAAATATATAATTCGATGATAAGATAAACAATATTATCGAACTTACTTCTTTTGTCCATTAACTTCGTAAGAACTTCTATAAAAACCAAACACGTCATCCGCAATTTCTCCCGTAAAAGAAAGTATCAATGTATATCGTCCAATTTCTAAATATTTCACGCATTTGATAATATACAATTGTTTATTTGTATCTGTGTATTGATCGTTGATTGAAATTTTATCAATTTCTTTGTATAGAAAAGTCTTATCTTTGTCTATTCTTAGTTTATTGGTGTGTAGTATTATCGTGTTTGTCTTTACCAATACATCCAACGTTATTCGAACTTCAGCTTCATAGACAAATTCATTTGCAGCTAATTTTGTTAATATTTTTAAATCATAAGATATTGGAATTACATTATTCGGTAATCTGTATATCGATGCATCATCGATGTTTTCCATTGATCGACCATCGTTTTCATTAGACGCAAAATTCAAATCAATAAAAACGAGATAAAGAAGAAAACGTAATATCTTGTTAAAGAAAAAAATTTCTTTTGTTAATTTATTTGAAATGTTAATGACCAATCACAATTGATACAAATCATTAGAAAAATCAACTTACCGACATTTCGAAAAGATTAATCTGCTACGTCGTGGTTCAATTAGAAATGAAATTATATTTATTGTGGTGAAGCATTTCTTTATCATGATCAAGACGAACTTTTAATCTTTGGATTATCTATTTTGTCATTTATAAAGTACTTTAAAATATTGATTTATTATCGAATGCTATTGATTTTAAAAATTCAGAACAACTGAGAATGAAAAGAAATATTTACTTCTGATATAAAAGAGATAAAACGATCATTGCAAATTGAGACAAATGCAGACAACTTCTCGAGAAAAATTAAAGCTTAAAGAGTTTAAGAGTTTTAATTATGTTTCTTGGAAAAGTAAATAATTCTTTTATATTTGCATAATTATAAATAATTACCATGTATTATATAATATTTTAGAATAAATAATTAGAAATGATCAATATGTTTAGTTCAATCAAATTTTCTCAATTATAAAAAAAACCGTAATGAATTTATCTGTCAAAGTACGAAACAATTATTTTTAGCAAAATAATAAATTGTACGATAAGATTTTAATTGTACGTACGTTTAATCAAATTTCCTGCCATGTTATCGAACAAAGTACAATTTTTTGTGTTGTGTTTATCTTATATTATAAAATCTCTTACGGAAATCGAATAAAAATCTTTTATACATATTATCTATTATGATTCATTTTTTTCTTTTTTTTTCCATAAAACTTTGACTCGTTTTCTCTTTCATTACTTTCAAAGTATTTTATTGTTTTGTTTTTTTTCAATTCTTTTTTTGTCTTTTTTTTTGTGAAATCAAAACGATGCCTTTCAGAGGTTAACAATGTTGAGGTTTTCGATTCAACTCGTAGAAATTTGCATATAATGGAGACAGAGCGGCGAACGTGTTGTCGTATGCTTTAGCCTTCGTAAATGTGTTTACTTACATTCCACATAGCACGATATTGGAAACTCTCTGATGGACGTGCCACCTTTGCTCGCACACATGTTCTTATACGACAATGTTTCACGTAACTCGTTGCATCATCGTCTTCATTTCTCTTTACGAAAATATCTATCAATTATATTCGATCATTTTAAATTTGTCATAGATCGAACTAAAATAAATCCTATCGAAAATGTATTATTATTATTTTCATTTTGACAATATTTATTAACCAACTTCAAAAAGGAGGAGCTTCTCAATTCGGATGTTTGTATTTTTTTCTTTTTTTTTTTATGTATGTTCGAACATAACTCCGTCATATGTAGACGGATTTGCAGAATTCTTTTTTTGTTCGAAAGGGGTTTATTTCAATTTCATATAGATCTGATGATGAGTTTCGAAGACA